CTTTTTCGTTGTGTTTGGCCCCCCCCCCCCCGACAGTGCTGTCTATAACCCATTTCAATCATTCTTTGACTCACGTGGGTGTCTCACAGAGCCACAGGTGAGAGAACAAGTTTTTTAAATGACAAGAGAAGCACAGTTGAAAAGCCATAAATACCAGCAGGACTCAGAGGCTCTTCTAATATCTGCAATTATACTTCATAGTATTTGTATTCATTTAAACTGGTTAAGTTTCAGATGACAAGGTTTCCTTAATCCACTCAGAGTAAAACAGGCAGTCTCCAATCACCACTCAAAAGATAAACAGCTGTGCTGTTCTCCAAAAGCCATTATGTTTGGCTTTTTGGAGGAAAAAAAAATAGCATAACCACTAACCATTACTTCAGTGTTCTAATCCCACATTATCCATAGCTCATTTTTGTAACAAGACTATTAAAACAAAGGACTGTAAATCAGCAGTAATAGAAATCAAGGCAAGCATTTCATAGTCATTTGATCTACCATACCTTCTAGCGTCTTTCTGAAGAATCAGAGAGTTATTACATATTTTTGCTACTGTAATTTCATGGTTGTCATGTGACTTCTGTTTGTAACAGAAAGAAGGCTTCACAGCAGCATTGGTATAACTATGTCCAGCATCCAACAGAAGAGAAAGATTCCTTCCTTGTCATGCCCAAATTTTAAAGACAATTTCCTCTTTTTACAGTAAATACATATGTGGGGTAGGAGAAACAACCCATCTAATTTCTAAGAGAACAGGAGAAGCAAGCCAGTGGCAGGGCCTCACACTGCATTTAAAGGGAGGTTCCAGGGGAGCAGACAGACACAGTACATAACTGAAAGTCAAAAGGTGGATTACAAACTGCAGTTTGGAGTGTGATGCAGAAAGGGAACAGTTTAGCAGATGCTTGTTTAGTTCAGAGAGTTTGCTGGCAGATGCAGTAACACTGGATACTGCTAGATGTGAGGGATGATAAAAATGTAACATGTCTTAGACACTTCTTCCTAACCTTTTTTTTTTTTTTTTAGGAAAAAAAAAATCCTCCTCCAGTACTTAAATTTTATTACTTACCGAAGGATCTACTTGATCATTTGTTACTCCCCTCAGGACAATCTTCAATGGATGTTTCATGAAAGGTGCCAAGCAAAGCAGACTTTCCAAATAGTAGCCAATACTACGACTGGGGCTGCAGTCATGTTCCAACGAGCCTCCATACAGAAGACCAGGCTGATAATACAAGGTAGTACCTGGGGAAGATGCCAAGGGAGCAAACCAAATGAGAGTGCTGTCAGCACACTGGCCATTACTACAGCATAAAGACACTTTGCAACAATCTATACAGGCAAATTGGAGACAGAAGAATTCATGAAAGATGGTAGCACTTCCAGCACGCTATTTCTATGTCTGCAGTGAATAAACGTGCCAATGCACATGAGTGTCTGTCTTGCACATCACTTCTCCTCCTTTCTCCTTCTCCCCAAAAATCCAGGATCTCTTAGCAATCCCTAAAATGCTGATACAAGCAATTATTATCCTCCAGAGCAGGTAAATCTTCACTAGACCATCAGGTCATCGCTGTCTTGGCATATCTGGTGGTAGTTCAACTGCTTTACTGACCAACCATAATCCTTTTGGGGAAAAAAAAAAAGGAAAAAAAAAAGGACAAGAATCAAAAGAGATTTTTACGTGAGATGCTTCTCGCTCAAACCAACCCCTTTTGTGAGCATGACTAGGCAAGCAGTCTTGCTCCAAAGTTTGCCTCTGTAGAAGGTAAACCTTGCCTTCTACAAAAATCTGCTCTGGTTCAGAAGGACCTTCCCCCACTATGAAATCCTGCATACCAAACAAAATACTAATTTTAATTCTTGAGCAATATGGTTTTCTTAACTCTCTGCATTATGGTGGAGCATGCGATCAATTACTACAAAACTTCTCAGTTTGGTTACTTCTGATCTTCTCAGTCAATGATATCTGAACATCGACCTCTGTCGAGCCAAAACTTTGATTTCACTGCAGCAACTGATAGAGCCTGGAAGACCAGAACAGAGGGAGAAGAGAAAACAGATCTCACCTGTCTGGTTTATTTCAATCCGAGAGCCATTGGTCACTTTGTCCATCAGGCGAATAAAACTTGCTTCAAAATCTAAGGAGCAGAACAAAGACAGAATTTTAAAGTTCCTTAAATTTATTCCTGGAAAAAATAAGAAACTTCAACACCATACTTATACATTTTCCCTTTCCTGCCTTTCACGACAGTAAGGCTACTCTCACTCTTCAACCTGTTGTGGTATAATTCTACCACATGAGAAAAGGCAATTCACTATAAAAACAAAGATGTTAATTTGAGCCCCCATGCTTATAGGCATCTCAACTCAACCGGGATGTCCCCAGATGTGACCGTCGGACTAGCCACACTCCCCTCCTTGGCACACAGCGAGTGACACAACTTGACACTTCTGATCACAGTGGCCTGAGAGATCACTCAAGCCCAGGGTAAAACCTTTGACAATTTACACCTTGCTCAGTACGAAGCAAAACATACCAATCCTACCAAACAGGACCCCATATTAGGCATGACAAGCTAATAACAGCTTCCCATTATTCTCTCTAAAAGCCTTAGTTTAAAAGAAGGGGACATTCAGATGTGAAGTGCTGCTGCTGCACAGCCATTCCACAAACACAATTAGCTATCTGCAGACTTTCAAATTTTCCATTTCCAAAAGTGTCATTGACATCATAAAGGCTAGAGAAACACAAGTCTCCCTAACGCCTCTTTTCTTGCTTACTGTGTGCACTACAGCGGTCCATGTGGAATTAATTCCTCAGTTTTGCCTGTTTGTGTGGACTCTCGTTCAGAGACATGGGAAAGGACAAGCATATTTAAAAAAAAAAAAAAAAAAGGAGGAACATGCTAGTATTCTAGTATTTAGGTATCCCAAGCTGGTACAGACTAATATCAAGAAAAATATGTGAACACATGCAGAGTTCAAAACCCTCGTAGTTTTAAGGACCAACAGCACCTGCGTAATGGTTGGTAGGTTGCAGAACTTCCTTAGAAATAACCCTGTGTCACTTCTTAAAGAGTAATCAGATTCTTCCTTCTATATAAGCTTCTAAGATGCAATAAGCATTTAAACCAAAGAGCTACATGCAGAAATTACAGTTCGTTAATATTTGCATAATACAGTTGATGCGCCAGTCACACAATGCTGGTTCTGCTCTCTGTTATGATAGTTTCTAAACTTAAAGTTTATATGACAGCACTGTCCAGTGCAAGAGTGCATCCTTTCAAATACACATTTCCCTTGTGGAGAACAAACCTGTAGAAGAGTTTTCATTGCAAATGTTCCAGTCATGAAAAGCGGAGAGAACTGCTTGTTGAATCATCAACACAAATCAGGGTTTGTCGTTATTATTTTTCTGTTACAGTCACAGTTTACATTTTAACCCATACTTGATAAAGGCAGTTCAAATACCTTTTAAAAAAAACATGGCAAAACCTACAAACTTCACCACTGCCAAACATCCCACGGTAATAATAAACACTTTGGGTCACAGTAAATGTTAAGTCAAGCACACAAGAATGTTTCGGAGGAGAATTTCTAGCTATAAACTGAAGCCTCCTCAGGAGGCAGAGTAGTGTCTATGCTGGTCCTACCCCTGTTCTGAAACTCACACTTTGCCCCCAAAATAACTGACCACCACAATGGTCTATCTCTACCCTACTGTCTTCTCTATCTCTACCCTACTGTCTTCTCACTTCACTAACTGAGGAAGTTAACCGAGGGGTGCCAAAGGGCCCGTACAGGAATGAAGAGAGTCCTCCCTAAGCCAGGTTTCCCTCAAAGGGCTCCGCAGTGCTGGAAGTTTTCAGAAATGAGAAGTAAATGGATTTCACATTTTTCACCTTTGCTACCATGTCGGCAAAACCCAAATAAAAATTAAAGCATAAATCCTGGCCCATTAAAACCGTGGTAATTCGGGCTCCCGTGAAGAGATGTTGAACTCGTCGCTGGGCGTGCGGCAGCTAACGA